CTCACAGGAGTTGGCATTCAACAGCACCTGGAGGGTCACAGAGTTCTCATATTTGCAAATGTTGAGGGTTTTTGAAGTCCAGCTGTGTAGGATTTCAGAGAATTAAATCAAGTAAGACTATTTTTAATTATTTTGCAGTTGGCATGTCGTAAAAAAAATCAGATGAAAGGTAGTTAAACATCCCCAATACAGGAAGCACTATACAGTGGTGCCCCACAAGACGAAAAACTCGCAAGACGAAAGAGTTTTCCGTTTTTTGAGTCGTTCTTCAAGACGAATTTCCCTATGGGCTTGCTTCGCAAGACGAAACGTCTTGCGAGTTCTTGCGAGTTTGTTTCCTTTTTCTTAAAGCCGCTAAGCCGTTATAGCCGCTAATAGCTGCTAAGCCCTAATCACCGCAAGCCGCAATGGCCGTGCTTGCAAGAACGAAAAAAACCGCATGAGACGAAGAGACTTCGCGGAACAGATTAATTTCGTCTTGCGAGGCACCACTGGTACAGCAAATGGTACATTGAGAATCAGGAGGAGTTGTCATATCCATAGCGAAGCAATCTTTCTTTTGTTACAACAATTTACTTCTGACTTATTTATAGCGGGGGTTTCCTGTGTGTAGATCACCCTAAGAGGGAAATTTTTTTTATTAAAGCACATCACAAAATGAAGGATTCATGAAGGATACGATCACTGGCACGTGTTGTTGGATGTTTTGCCTCGATTATGTTTGCTTTGTAATTCAGGAACTGTGTGTAACCCAATGGTGAAAAGTAATCCAATCCTCACAATGAGGCATTCAGGCAATTCACCACTGGGCTCGTGGTTGATAGCCTACTTCAGGAATGAAAGTAGGACACCCATTCAGATCAGAGGTTCAGGGCATGGCACACCACACTGATGTGACAGGAGAGGATAGCAAGTGTGGTGGGAAGATTCAAGGACAATCAAAGAAACATTTAAACATTTCTGTGTAGTGTAATATAGTAGAATATAGGAAAAGACAGTACACCACCCGGGACATTCTGTTTCCTCTGCACACTACTGCCTCTGTCCCATTCAGCAGAGAGTCACCTACTACCACCACATGCCTCTTCCTCTGGGACGTGGCAGGAATCTTTCTATCCACTGTCCCTTCCAAAGCCTCTTGGAATCTCCCCCTTGCGTATTGGAGCCTATCTGGATATTGTTGGGATAGGTTACAAAGGCAGGAAACTTATGGCTTGAATACATCCTACTCCTTCCTTTCAGCTTGCCTTCTCCAGAGTGCATTCCCTTTCTCTGATATCATCTCCATGGAAGGTAGCAAGTGGGTTATCAGCATACTTATCCAGGCTCAGTAGCCTTGGATCTGAAGGGGTTAGGTCAAGAACGGGAAAAGACTCCTCCAAGTCCATCACCTCCTGTCTCTCCTCTGGGGAATGGCAGGAATCATTCTGTGTACTGTACCTTTCACAGCCACCTTGGTGTCTTCTGAGGTTGGCGACTGCTGTCCTAGCTCCTCTGGCCCAGAATACTGCTGTTCTGTGTGCCCAAGAGTCTTGCCCTTGCACAGCGTAACTTTCCACCCTGCTCCCTGCAGCCCCCCGCACAGCCTCAAAATCTGCTCCAGAGGGTTTGGAGAACAATATCCACAGGACACAGGTGGCGCTGTGGTTAAAAGCCTCAGCGCCTAGGGCTTGCCAATCGAAAGGTCGGCGGTTCGAATCCCCGCGGCGGGGTGCGCTCCCGTTGCTCGGTCCCAGCACCTGCCAACCTAGCAGTTCGAAAGCACCCCCCCGGGTGCAAGTAGATAAATAGGGACCGCTTACTAGCAGGAAGGTAAACGGCGTTTCCGTGTGCGGCTCTGGCTCGCCAGAGCAGCGATGTCATGCTGGCCACGTGACCCGGAAGTGTCTCCGGACAGCACTGGCCCCCGGCCTCTTGAGTGAGATGGGCGCACAACCCTAGAGTCTGTCAAGACTGGCCCGTACGGGCAGGGGTACCTTTACCTTTTACCTTTATCCACAGGATCCTTCTTGGTCTGTCACTGCCGTTGTCAGTTCAGACCCCACCAATATAAGTGAAGTGAGTTTTGTTTGTTTGCCCTAATGTGAATCTCTTTAAACATGCTTAGAATGAGGCATTCCCCCCCCAATTCCTCTAAACAAGGAAACTTTACTTATTGGTTTTGGAACAAGTCAGTATATTAAACCATAGAGTCTGAAGGTAGTTAAATATCCTTGTTCTGAATGTGGCAGCCATAGTTTCCTAGTTTGAATGAAATGGGAAGCTGTTTAATTAGAGATTACTTGCTTTGATTGCTTCATTCCATGAAGGAAGAAACAAAGGGCTGCATACAAATCTCAGCTTAATAAGATCAAATTTAATAATATGAATGTGACCAATATCTGATTAAAAATAATTACACTGGAAATCACTATGAAATAGGACCAATAAAAGTTTGTTGGGATTTGTTCTCAACACAAGGTGGCAGCAATGCAGCAAGTAGAAGGCAGACCAAATATTTTTGTAAATCTGCAGTTATCAAAGGCTTACATTCTCATTTTAAAATGACGTTAGCTAAACAGCAGCATGAATATGCATTCTGTAAACTGATGAAAACAAGCAGCGCTCTTAAAATAAACAGCTTAATGCATTAATAGTCTCCGATTAGCTAAGCAATTGGTGATAATCAAGCTAATGTATTCCTTTATTTCGATCTCTTTAAAGCTATTTATTTACATCACAAACTGCTTTCCTGCCAAAGAAAATACTATTCAAAGCAGCAACCGGCATTGTAATGAGACTACAACATAATATATCATACATGTGCTTAAATACAGAATAATTGTGCATATAAAATGAGAGTCAGCAGCTGCCAAATGTCTGTCGGAATATATGATTGATTGATTTATTTCCACAGTTCAGAACAGAAGAAGTTTGGCAGCCATTTTTTGGGCAGGGCCATGCCTTAATTGTAGCATTGCAGCCTAAGATACACTGTTTCAAGCAGCAACAAAGCATACATAATTTAAGGTAGAATCTTATGAACACCTGTGGGCTCCAAGTTTTCTTGTTTCAAACAAACCATAGTTAAAATTAACCACAGTCTGTTAGGTAGAGGTGAAGCAGTATATAAATGAAGCAGTATATAAATTCTGTTAAATAATAAAATAAGGCCTCCCCTTGGATGATGGTGTTCCTCATCAGAAATTTTGTTCTATGGGGAGCACTCAGATGTTCCCACAACTTCAGACTAAAATGGTAGTCTAGCAAGAGCTGTCTCGTATCATGGGAGAATGCTGATTGTGTGTGCATTAAAATGATTATTTTCAACAGTGGTGGGAAACCTGCGGCCACCACAGCTAGTTATGCATGCCAGGCCTCCCATTTGAGCCATGAAACTATTTGGTGGAAAACACACCTACTTGTTCAACACCTGATGTCGTATGACATCAGGCATATGGGATAAGTATAATTGTGGCTTCAAGTGGCAGATTAAAGCTATAGTTTGCAAAGGGATGTTGTTGGTTTTTGCAGCCACGAGTTAAATTTGCCACTGTTTGGATTTGGTGTAGTACTGCTTCCAAATTAAAGCTGGTGCTGCAATGAAATAATCTTTGAAACGTCAAAGGAAGAATCAGGAGTGCAGCTGGCTCCTGTTTTTTTCCCTTTGAAATGCAGTCACCTGGCATCAAGACTGTTAGGTGGCTGGCTCTGTCCACCTATCAAAGTGATCCACCAAGGATTGGCCATCTCCACTGGTTCACAGCCCCTATTTTTCAGAATTTAAACTGGAGACTATATGCATTTAATATAAAACTGGAAAAATAAGACAAAAGCCAACTGGTCCACGGATTAACCATTCATTCACAGTTGGAATGACATTAGAGTTGCAATAATTATTTTTGAATCTTTTTCCTTAAAACATCCCAAAGCAATTTAAGAATAACAACTTTTATCAAACCAATTTTATAAGCTTATATATGTTATTGAATCTTCAGGTTTTGTTTAATTTAACTTAGGGGTGAGGAACCTTTTTTAGGCCGAAAGGCTGCATTCCCTCTTGGCCAACCCTCTGGCAGCTACATGCTATCATTGGGCAGAGAATCTCTCTGTTCCATGGATGAGGCAGGAATGGGAGCAGAAAGACCAAGAAGCAGGAACAAGATCTCACCCCCTTATCCCTTTCTCTGTAGCAATTCTTCTGAACCATCAGAGACTTTTAAGATTTTCTGTCTTAAATTAAAAGCACATGTAGTATTTATACAGATGGAATTCAGGTCCTCTACTATTTTGGCACAAATACAGTGGTGCCCCGCAAGACGAATGCCTCGCAAGACGGAAAACCCGCTAGACGAAAGGGTTTTCCGTTTTGGAGGTGCTTCGCAAAACGAATTTCCTATGGGCTTGCTTCGCAAGATGAAAATGTCTTGCGAGTTCCTGCAGGGTTTTTTTCCTCCCCCCCCCTTTTCCCAAGCCGCTAAGCCGCTTATCAGCTGATCCGCTAAGCCGCTTATCAGCTGATCCGCTAAGCCGCTTATCAGCTGATCCGCTAAGCCGCTTAACAGCTGATCCGCTAAGCCGCTAAACAGCTGATCGCTAAGCCGCTTATCAGCTGATCCGCTAAGCCACTAATAGCGCTAATCTGCTAAGCCGCTAATGGGCTTGCTTCGCAAGACGAAAAAATCGCAAGGCGAAGAGAATCGCGGAACGGATTCTTTTCGTCTTGCGAGGCACCACTGTACTTCACTATTTGATAGTGCACTCAAAATTGAACTTTGTCTCATGAAATAACCAATTAGTTCTAATTTGCTGTTGTGTATCATCCACATATCTTGCCACAATCTTCTGAAGGGTCAGCAAGGGAATCACAATATCAGTTGCATAATATGGTATATTTACTTGATTGAAGTCTTCTGTAATCCCATAGTTGGCCAAACATTCCTGTCCCATGTTTGGATGATCTGTCTGACTTCCTTGATTTATTTATGGAACCATAAGCTGCTTTTTAAATTTTCTTTTAGGAGTGATGACTCTGAAGATGAATCAGTAAAGCCATCGCTGCAAATGTAGGGCAGTAAATCAATGGTGTGGACAGTATGGACCTAATGAATGGGCAGCCCAGCAATGTTAATATTGCAGCTACTGCTTCAGAGGTAAGGAGTCAGCAATAGTCAGCTTTAAAAAATGCAGGCGCATAGTACATGTATACAACAGTGCAGCTTGAAAGAAGAATGTATTTTGGTACGCAATCAGTTCCTGTTCTTTGCTGGAGTATTTTAAGCATGGATCTTGAAACTTTTTAAACTGTTTTTTTTAAAACTTGGGAAGGGTGCCTCTGAAATTTGGTACAGTCTAGGTAAATGGGATGTTTTAGTGGTGCTCTCCCTTTGTGGAATGCTCTCCCCGGGAAAAAATGCCTGGCGCCATCACTGTCGGTCTTTAGTCGCCAGGCTGAGATGTTTTTATTCACCAAAGCCTCTCTTTCGGCTTTTGAGCAGGTATACATTCACATTTTCAATTTTGTATTTTTGTTTTCTTAGAAGAGTAGCAGCTCGGAGTCATTAAGTGACAAAGGTTCTGCTGAACTGAAGAAAAGTTTTGATGCAGTGGTATTTGATGTTCTGAAGGTTACACCTGAGGAATATGCGGTAAGTAATTAATAAGTGAATAGTTTGCTAATTTAATAGTCTTACAATCCAATCCTTTAAATGTTTCCACAGAAGCCCCATTAAGCTTAGTAGCAGCCACTCCCAGGTAACTGTATAAGAGTCCAGGCTTATTCAATTTTCTCTCTGCCTGTCTACACCTACCTTCTCCTCTCCTAATGTTTATTACATTCAGGGGGGTTTTTTTAAGCTGGAACTTACCTGAACTCAGTTCCGGCACCTCTTTTCTCGATTAATAGCATGATAACATGATTTGCCAGATCCTGCTAGAAGACATTCCTGATAGGGATGATGCCTCCTCCTAGATCAGGCATAGGCAAACTCAGCCCTCCAGATGTTTTGGGACTACAGTTCCCACCATCCCTGACCACTGGTCCTGTTAGCTAGGGATGATGGGAGTTGTAGTCCCAAAACATCTGGAGGGCCGAGTTTGCCCATGCCTGTCCTAGATGAATCAGGCAGGACTTCCTGAAGCCTTTTACTTCCTCTCCAGGGATAGGAACCAGCCCTCTCTTCAGACCAACCGTGCCTGTGGTTTGTGATGGTTAGGTCTTTTTTGTCTGAGGAAATTTCTAATCTTTAGGTTTTCTAGTTAGTTAGGATTATTTGCTGTAAGTACGTGAGGAGGGCAGATAATGAGCTGGTTTGCAAGTAGTGCTAAAGTTTAGTTTAGTGCTCTATGATGGGTATTAGTAAAAGGATATATTAATTATAATTGACTCTCTATAGATGCATTGGGGGGGGGGTTAACACAAGAGAAAAATGGCTTGTGCCTGTTTTTTAAAACCCAAGGCTTGCACATAAAGAACTCCAGTAGCAGAGTTTAAATCCCATTGTTAGACAGATTTAATGAAACATAGGAATAGGTTTTTAAACCTTCTTTTTAATATGTTCTAGCTCCTTAAGGCAGCTAGCTTCCTTTCCCCCTTTTTCAATAAAACAGAAAAGAGACTGCAAGGTAAGTTTAAAATATTTTACTTACAGTAAACTTAAACTAAAAGCTACCAGGGAAAATATAATTTACATTAATGAGCTTATTTAAGTGAAAATGATGCCCAAAGGTTTATACTGTGAAATTTCATTTGAGCTTAAGTTTGTTTTGTATTGGCTTGTGTTGTACCCATTACCATGGTGAGCTTACTTTCAGTTGCGTGTGTGTGAAATGCTGCAGAAGACACTGATTCGGTTGAATTAACATTTATATTAAAGACTTTAATGCCTATATCCTGAAAAAAATATCTTGTGTACAGTGGAACCTTGGTTCTTGAATGGCTTAGTTGACAAACAAATTGGTTCCCAAATGCTGAAAACCCAGAAATAAGTGTTCCGATTTTCAAACGTTTTTCGGAAGCTGAACGTCCAACATAGCTTCCAGTTTGAGTGCAGGAAGCTGCTGCAGCCAATTGGAAGCCGCGCCTCGGATTTCGAACGTTTCAAAAGTCGAACGGACTTCTGGAACAAATTACGTTCAAGAACCAAGGTACCACTGTATTAGATTTATCCAATTTGCTTATATAATGCAAGCTGAGTATTAAATATACATTTTCCTTATGTCATTGAGGCATCTTTACTCTTTAATAACATTTACTTAAGAATCCCAGGGTTAGGCAGGTGTCATTTTTTATATCCATGTATATCCATTTTTTTATATCCTTTTTTATATTTCTACCCTGATTTGCACACTTCATTCAAATGGCTTATGTATTGAAAATGCGGGTTGTTGTCTTTAAAGCTATAAGCAGCCTGGGACCAGACTATCTGTATAACAACCTTTTTCTGTACAAGGCTTTCCTGAGTGTTTAAATCCTCTGAGAAGCCCCTTCTTTTGATCTTGTCAACATTTGATGTGTACGTGGTAGGAATTCAAGAAAGACTTTTGAACTCCCTATTGAGGGAAGCTTTTTCCCGTAGGCAGGAAGAATAATTTTATTTAAACAGGTATTAGTGAGCTGATCTTTCTTCCCCTCATAGAAATAAATAATGATTTGTATTTTAAATATTTGTTTTTCACTTTGTCTGTGCTTATCTGTTTTATTGGTGGTATTGTGTATCATGTATTGTGATTTGGTTATTTGTATTGTGGGTTTTACTATTAGGTGCTATGGGCATTCTTAATGGAAAGGATCCATTACATGCAGAGATTGTTCAGTGGGGGGGGGGGGGGATCTTAGAATAGCAATCATTAATTTCAGCCGCTGTTGTATTGGTTTACCAGAATTTATGCTAGTTTTCTTCATTTGAACAAGGCTTCCACTTCTTAAAGGAAATAAATGCCTTCTGTAGCCTCATTGATGATGATACTTTAGATAGCTCTTTACACTTCATTACACTGATGCTGAGCAAAGTGTTGGACTTCTGGCCTATAACTCCAAGAAGAAGTCAAATGAAGTTTCTCCTGGCAGATCGGGACAAATATGTCACTGCCTTAGTAGCCTCCTTTTTAGCCACAGTCTTACTCGAAAGGTTTCCTAATGATTCATCCTTTCGGGGAACAGACAGGACAAAGCAGAATATCTAAGTGCACACGATCACAAGTGTGACCTTATGACCCTCAGCAGCTTCACCCTTGTCCTTTAATTATCCCAGTGACTTGAAATGTTTTATACTGTGATGCCAATAAAGGGATTTGATTTGATTTGATACTTTAACAGTGCTGGAAAACTTTTAGACTTCTTAAGGCTTTTTCTGACATATATATATATATATAGAGAGAGAGCCCCTATTATAGTTTAACATAATTGCTAAGCTTTCTGATGGAATTTGGTATTTGTAACTAAGACCTCTTGCTAATTCCTTAACATTTTAGATATTATTTGTTTTGAAATTAAATGTGTTTATTAAATGTGTTCTACCATGTGTTGAACACGATAGTTGTATTTAGTCACTGCTTCCAACATTTACATAATCCAGATCTGTCTTTGAAAAGGCTCGATCAGTTTACACTCCTCTTCTGGATTCCTAGCATCTAAGCCAGGAGTCAGCAAACTTTTTCAGCAGGGGGCCGGTCCACTATCCCTTAGACCTTGTGGGGAGCCGCACTATATATATTTTTTTTTTGGGGGGGGGGATGAACGAATTCCTATGTCCCACAAATAACCCAGAGATGCATTTTAAATAAAAGGACACATTCTACTCATGTAAAAACACGCTGATTCCCGGAGCATCTGTGAGCAGGATTTAGAAGGCAATTGGGCCTGATCCAGCCCCAGGTCCTTAGTTTGCCTACCCATGATCTAAGCCTCTGCCACTGTAGATTTTCTCTTTTACAGGAAGCAGAGATGGCTCTTTGTAGGGTCGAGGAACAATGGGAGGGCACACCATTTTATGATGGCCATTTCTCTAGTATTTAATAATAAAAAGCTGGCCCAATCTTGAAACATTCATTTCAAAAGGACACAACTCTTACTTTCCTTCTCACTTTTTTCCCAAAGGGCCAGATAACACTAATGGATATTCCTGTATTTAAAGCTATTCAGCCTGAGGTAAGTTTTTCTTACACAACCTTTTGATTTTAAATACTGTAAATCCAAGCCAGATTTCCTTATTATGTAAACCCATGCATATATTCTGGAACTAAATATGAGTGCCACTGTGTGTATGCATGTACAAATAATTTGTGTTTCATGTTACATAATTTTTAAATGGTACCTAGTGGTGTCATCTGGAGTAATTTGGTTGACCAGTGAACTGTTAGTTGGTAGGCAAAGGAAGAAAACGGTACGTTGAAGTATACTTTTGCTATTCAGTTATTCTTCTTATAGATCATATGGAATTGAACCTCTAGGGAGACAGGTAGATTTTTTTTTGTAGTTTTTGTAGTTTTCCTGAGTGAGTTTGAATGTTGAGAAAATATTTAATTCATGTTCCAAACATTCCATGATAACAAAGTGGAAGATTACAGATACAAGGACACTGAAGTTATTAGCCAGCCATAATTTGTGGTGACCACTAATTACTGGTATTATGCTCCCCCAAGTCATCTCTGCCTGCAAGAAAGCTTGCAGCAGGGTAGGAAAGTATTGGATATTTGGCCGAACTTTTGATTATGATGGGGTGGGGAGCTTTTTTGGGCTGATGGCTGCATTATCCTGGTGGAAAACTTATCAGTAGCCACACTCCATTAGCAGGTGGTGCTCAAACAAATGTAGGTATGGTCAGACCCACAATCACACATTTTCATTGAGAAGAAAGGCATATATTCCCTTTGTGGAACTCCATTCAAGTTTCATCTTCCATTTTCTGTGGACTGTTTTTACAGGCACATTTTCTGTCCTGACTGTGCAAAGTAGCACTGACATGAAGGTAGTTGTTTCTAAATGAGAAATAATTGTGGATCAGAGCAAAGTACAGTCTTCTTGCAAGAATTTCGAAACCATTTTGTTGCATTTCCTGAAATTATAAACTATTTTTTAAAAACAACTGCATTCACTAGCATGCATGTTTTATTTTAAAATGACTTCTCTGTTTCTCAAATGAAATCATGCACAAGTGGGTTAAATAAATATGTTTTGTTTTGGGGTGTCCAGTTTGATAAAGCTATTCCTGCATGAATAACTATTCTGTTTAAAGATGAAAATTCAGTTCTTTCGTAAGCATCCTTTAATGATGGCCTTCAAGCTGCTGTGAAATGAGCAGTTGCTTAACATAACAAATCCAGCCTAGGCTGTTTCGTTTTCTCTGAATATGTCCTTAACTTGCCTTACTTTAAGGATTTGCAATATTTGTGGTATACTTAATTGTGTGTACCTATTTAAGCACACTCCAGATCAAATTAACGTCTTCCAAAAGGAGTTTCTTATAGGAACTAACACTGTACCTCAGTTTGGTAAATACTGCTTTCACACTAGATTACAGAAGGGTTATTGTAACAGCCTGGCAGATATAAAATACATCATAGAGGTGGTTTAAAATAATTGTTAATGTTTTATCATTGAAATTAATGAACACTGCTTCTTTAACAAAATTAGTTCTGAGCAAAATTGTTTATCTTGGAATTACTGTTGCACTGTCTAAATACTTAATCATTTCCTATTTTTAGAATATACCTATCAAATCAGCAGAATTTGGCATCCAAAGCATTTTTACTAATAAAATCTGCTTTTGAGAAATAAACTTTACATACTGTACATATGCATTACCATTATCTTCCAGTTAGCAGTGGACAATCTGTGAGATGCTGCAATCCTGTCTTCAGTCTAGCATCCTTGTAAACACAAAAAATTACCAGAGAATGGATAGTGTTAAAAAGCAGTTGTAGGGATATAGAGCAGGAAAGGTGGAGAGCAGGTAGGACCTGGAGGGAGCAGAATGCACTTGCAGTAAGCAGAAAAAGAGTGTGAGTGACTGCGTTTATCTTGTCTGAACATCTTGGCTGCTGTCCCAAGGGAGCTTCCACATAGAAGCCTCCACTCCCCAGGCTGGTAGCTTCCTTGCAGATAGTGCCAGCAATTAGATCTTGGTGCAGAACTTGCAGTGGCTAGACCAGGCATAGGCAACCTTCGGCCCTCCAGATGTTTTGGCCTACAACTCCCATGATCCCTAGCTAACAGGACCAGTGGTCAGGGATGATGGGAATTGTAGTCCAAAACATCTGGAGGGCCGAAGGTTGCCTATGCCTGGGTAAGGAGAGTGCTTCGCTTCCCTAGCAAGTATTTTTATGATACTGAGGAGCTCCTGAGTCAGACCAAGCCTATACTCTTGAGATGTCTTTACAGGTGAAGTCCACACCCTCTTTTCTGTGGGGACATGTTGCATCTTTGACTTGTAAGCCATAAGGTGTTGAAGGAATTTAAGCCTGCTAAAGCTAGCATGTTGAAAATTATTAACTTGATGCTGATTTTGAATCACGTTCAAAGCTTAGAAGGATTTTTAAAAATAAATGTTACAAGTGTAAGATATGAAAGAGATTATTAACTTAATGTGCAAGCACTTCATGTCCCCGTTAATATATTGGGATGGAATATAATTCAATCAGCTTCACAGTAACAGTTAGTCTGGTGCATGCCAATGTCCAGTCTGATAGGTAGCTTTGGGTTTACAACATCAGTGAATTGGGTGGGTCTAGGCAAGTTTCCGTGTTTCCGTTCCGTGTGTGCTGCGCTGGCTCGCCAGATGCAGCTTGTCACGCTGGCCACATGACCCGGAAGTGTCTGCGGACAGCGCTGGCTCCCGGCCTATAGAGTGAGATGAGCGCACAACCCTAGAGTCTGTCAAGACTGGCCCGTACGGGCAGGGGTACCTTTACCTTTACCTTTAGGCAAGTTTTATTTTAATTGTGATTGAAAACATGGCCCATATGACTATTTTCTTTTAAGTGCATACGAATAAGCACTTTTTGTGTTTTGGGTTAGCTGCCCATTTGTTGAAAATCTGACAAATTAAGAAAATATTGTCTTTTCCCCTTTTATCTTCCAAAATCTTCTTTATCTTCCAAAATACTTACTTTCATTATTATCACATAATAATTTTCTGTGCGGGTGTGGGTGTCTGCAAATAGGTGTGTTGTTGTATGCAATGTTTGGGAGGAAATAAGACGGTAAACAACAAATAACAAACTAAATATCGATGTATGTAATTTTTATTTCTTAATTATATTTAGTGGTAGTATGGCTGTATTGTTTTTTGTAACATAAAACCATTCAATAAAAATTATTTTTTTTAAAAAAAAATATCAAGTACCAACAAATACCAAGAATCAGCAGCCATATTTAATGTAGCATTCATTCCCAACCATGCTAAGCATTGATAATTTCATGGGGCATCCTTTATTAAATTGATTTGATCTTTTGACTGAATGGACTTCAGTCATATTCTGTTCACTGCTGAAAAAGCAATGTCTGGGTGTTGTTCTAAAGTAATCTGCAATTAACTTCTTGATGGTTTTAAAAACTGAGTATGGTGCTGGAAGGAAACAGAAAAGCAGGCGTGTTTTAATGCCATAGCAAGGAAGACAAGCTCTCCTACAACTGTCCAGGACTTCCACAGACTCCCAATGGCAATTATGCAGCAAGTTGACCATCCCTGTGAAAAACTAAAAGAAAAACCCTATTTGTAATTTAAATGTGTTGTTTCATAATAAACATTTCGATGATTAGCATTAGCCTTTTTTCTGTTTTAATTATTGAAATGCTTAATTATTTAACAATATTTGACCACTCAGTTTGACTGGTTTGATACCCTGCTGTGGATAACAAAAATGGAATATGCAGTTGAGAGTAAAAGTGGGTGTGATTACACTAAGTCTTGTTGTGTGCTAGATCCATCTTCACAGTGTTCTTTAGATCATTTCACAGCCTGGAAGGCAGAGATGTAGAGATATTGTGATCAGTTTTCTTGGCTTTTCTCATAGTGTAAGTGTTTTAGACATACTTTGCGTTATAGAAAAAAAATTCTCCCCCCCCCCTTTTTTTGGAAACACATATCTCTTCGGGGGGATAGATAGCAAGGAAGTGTAAATGATGCCATTGTGATCAAGTGTCATGTCTTGGTAGTCCATAGGTTATAGCTCATTGTCTCAATTCACATATAACAGCTCCCCATACTTTGGCCACTTCTACCGAAGCTTTGGGCTTGAATACCTCCCCCTCCCACTTTTGCATTCTTGGATCCTCTCCTTCATTTACTTGTTTGAAGTGGGTTTCTAGTTATGGTCTGTAGACAGCTTGCAAAGACTATAGTTGGCACAATCTACAGTAGATGCAACTGTTTGGTCAAATCAGGAAGTGAGGGAGGGTTGTGTGATTCTGAGGTTTCAGCACAAACAATACTTTGCCGTATTGTATGAATCAAGCTATTGACAATACTGTTTTCCTGTTATGCATCAACTGGACATAATAGGTGCAGTTATCATTTCACATTTCACAGCTGGAAAAATCAGTGGACAGTGCTGAAGGGCACAGTTGGGCAAATTGAAATATTCATGACCAGGTGACAGCTCAGTAGCTATTCCTGTCCCAGGTGGTCAGTTCTGTACTTAATGGTGCATTTTCCCATTAAATAGTCCATTAAAAAATTGTAGGAGAACATGTCAAACCAAATCTTGCTCCATGTTATTTTACCTTACAAGCTTGAAGGGTCTTATACTGCCGTTGTAACTTATTAAAAAGTTCACTTGGAGCTCATAGAATTAAAAGGAAAGAACTCACATTTATATATCAGAATTGCAGTCTTATTTGCAACCATTAGGAAAAGTGTTGTTTTGTGTTTTATTTGATGCACTGTGTTAACTGCACTGATGATAAAATAAGAAATTCCTACCTTGTTTCAAAATGTGGATAAACAGTTACATCAGCCTTAAACTATTTCTCACTGTTAACCCAGGAACTGTCAAGCTGCGGTTGGAATAAAAAAGAAAAATACAGTTCTGCACCAAATGCAGTTGCCTTTACAAGAAGATTCAACCATGTAAGTTTTCAGTTTACATGTGGCACCTTTGCTGTGTACATAAAATCATTCCATTTACATTAAGCTTTAAAAGATGTAACTTATTTCTTTTGTTAAATGTTGCTGTGTATTTGACTGGACAGTGTTTTGGATTTCCTCTCTGGCTGCATGTATGATAATTAGCTGTTTTAAAACTGTTTTGAACCTTTATTCTTATTAAGCTAGCTTGATATTTTCATCCCAGAATTGACCGTGTTTGGAGAGTGTGCTGAAGGAATGGGCAGAAGATGCATTGGGATCTAGCATTTTATATTAGATCAGCAAGAATTTCTGACTCCTAACTGTTTGACAATATCAGAAACATGAAGGCCTTTTCATTTCTTTTCTCTAAACTAGACTGTTAGGATTCCTGAACAGTAGTCTCAGGTGTAGGTATGGACTTGTATATGCAGGTCACCCCACTATATGATTCATGGAGCACCATAGCTTTTCAGCCTACTATGTTTTGAGCTCTCCGAAATACTGTCCTGTATCCCTGCACTCCCATTGCGAAGTTCTTTCCCCCACCCATTTAAATTATCATTATTATTTTTTCATCTTCATCTCCAGTGGTAGGTTTGTTCCAAAACAGATCCTCTTCAGCTCCTGTGTCCCTACCCTTAAAATTAGTTTAGAAGCTGCTCTGCTACCTTTTTAAATTTTAAGTGCCAACAGTCTGGTTCCAGTCTGGTTGTGTCCCTTTTCTATAAGCCCAGGTTGTTCCAAAATGTTCTGCAGTGCCAAACCCCTCCTCCCTGCTCCGCTGTCTCATCCATGCATTGAGACTACACAGCTTTTCCTGTCAAGCTGACCTTGTGCATGGAATTGGTAGCATTTTGGAGAAAGCTGCATTGAAGGTCTTTGCTTTCAATCCTACGTAGCAACCTAAGTTTCATTTCCAAGACCTCGCAACTACATTTCCTCATGTCATTCATGTCAACGTGCATCATGACCACTGACCCTTCTGCTAGACTATCTAGATGACAGGGCAACACCTGCAACCTTTGCACGAGGCAAGCAATTCACCATTTGGTCTGCATGCCCGTTATACACCCAGGGTGTTGATTAAATGGGAAGTGGACAAAGGATGGTGAGTTAATTGGGGGTTGCCTTCCTGGGGTAGATTAGTAGGCTTTTCTTTTTAACACTTTCCCAAAGTTGGGGTTTAGTGTAGTTTTTTCATTTACCATGGCCTCTCAAGCTTTCCCTATTAGGTAGAGCTGAGAACGAAGTTCTACAAGTTTACCACCCCTAGGTTTTAGCACCTGATCTATAAGTCATTACAGGATTTAGCTACTAGCACATGATGCCTTTATTACTCTAGGCTGATGTTTTAATTACCGTATTTTTTGCTCTATAAGACTCACTTTTTCCCTCCTAAAAAGTAAGGGGAAATGTGTCTGCGTCTTATGGCGTGAATGCAGGCTGCGCAGCTATCCCAGAAGCCAGAACAGCAAGAGGGATTGCTGCTTTCACTGCTTTTCACTAGGTGCGTCTTGTGGTCTGGTGCGTCTTAAAGAGCGAAAAATATGGTACCGTAACTAACAAAGGGCTCATCCACAGTTTGGTTTATCCCGTGCTTCACTGGCCATGCTTTGGTGGCACAGGAGTCTCTAGGATATAGCAAGTCTCAGCATCCAATTACAGCACAACACTATCTAGAATATAAACGCTCCATGTGCTAACTACATCTTCAATGACAGTTTGCATGGCACATGTTTGTGCTGCACACAGCCACACCTTCATACTAGTGTACGCTATGGACGTCATGCTAGTGATGCTGGACTCACCAAGATGTACCATGGTGACTACAAACACAAGACATTTTGCAGAGAATATATGGTACTTCATACAAAGTTTCCCTCTACAGCTTGAGGCCGGGCCGGGATCTTTGCTAAAATTGCTGTGGTTTCAAACCCAGTCAAGGAACTATTGGCAGCATATAATATGACGAATACATCAAAGGGGGCCTTGTGGACAGGGCCTCTTCACAAGGTATAGCCAGAGAAGCAAGGACTGTATCCCTTTGTAACCAGTCCCATAAGGAACTGCATTCTCCTCCTTGCATGGAGGGCTCAGAGGGCCACTACTTAATAAGGGTTCCCTAACAGTGGCCTGTGAGGGACACGGGTGGCGCTGTGGACTAAACCACAGAGCCTAGGACTTGCCGATCAGAAGGTCGGCGGTTTGAATCCCCGCGACGAGGTGAGCTCCCGTTGCTCAGTCCCTGCTCCTGCCAACCTAGCAGTTCGAAAGCACATCAAAGTTCAAGTAGATAAATAGGTACCGCTCCAGCGGGAAGGTAAATGGCGTTTCCGTGTGCTGCTCTGGTTTGCCAGAAGCGGCTTAGTCATGCTGGCCACATGACCCAGAAGCTGTACGCCGGCTCCCTCGGCCAATAAAGCGAGATGAGCGCCGCAACCCCAGAGTCAGCCACGACTGGACCTAATGGTCAGGGGTCCCTTTACCTTTAACAGTGGCCTGCAACCTTATTTCAGGTGGTTTGTCTTTTAAGAACAGGAGCAGGGGTTGTGAACAATGGCAGCAGTGACTGTTCTGGGATGGAAGTGACAGGAGGAAGCAACTTGAAAGAGGTGGAGAGAGGATTAGGAGCCAGAAGTGCTCCTAATTTTACTGAATTACAATAAAATATTACAATTAAGATGCTGACTTTAGCAGACAATACCGAATTAGAAAAATATCTGCCGCAGAAGGTGTGTGTGTGTGTGTGTGTGTGTGTGTATTCATTAATTAAAGCCATTCTTTTTTATGTCTATTAGAGCTGATGAGTTAGTGCCTTCATTCTAAATGCATTCTATTTTTAATATCTATTAAAAGTAAAATGGTATGAACAGCTTCTCATAGCTACATCTCACTGCAAAGACAGTCAAGGTCGGGTATTGGAATATGCACATTCCATGAGACATAGATTTTCAGACAAATAATTGACACCAGTGTAGCAGCAGTTCTCACACAACATAGTTAATTCCAGACAATGGGGCTTTTCTTCACAAACTGGAGGTGAAAGGTACAATATATGTAGAAACTGCAATTTGCATCACCTACTTCCCCTACTTCAAAATCTGAGTTTAGAGGTTACTCATGCACTTTAGCACAGCTTCTACAGATGTGAAAGTAGTTAACTAATTAGCCATGGAAATACTAGAATCCTCTTGACATACTACAGTCTACTGCACAATACCCTTGCTAGTTTTAAAATTCAGAATGCTCTTACTAAAATCCATCTGTAAGCCATTTACTACTACCATCCTTGCCAAATGTGAATACTGTTACACTTTTCGGAAGAGTGGAAGAAAATTGGAAGATGGTATTCATTGTACTGTTTATATTCAGAAATAGTCTTGAAGGAGAGTGATTCCAGTAGAAAAAAGTGAACAAAAAGTAGAAAATAAATGATTTTACGCATTAGCAATTGCTGTATATTCAAGTGGAATTCACACCTTTTTACAGAAAGAACAGGTTGCTTACTTACAGCTGTGGCTGGATTCTGTGGCCGCATAGACATTGTTTTAAAACTTTGGAGAGATGGACTAGTGTTCTGGAGATCTGTCAACCTTCACCCTCAAGAGGGGGCTCCTCTTGGTTCCTGAGGGGCTCCATGCAGTGACTATATGAGGAAGTTTCAGAGAAGAACAGATTAAACTTTCTATTACGGAATGTTTTCATGATGTACAGGCACTGAAGCAGAGTATACCTTACCTCTGGAAATCAGGTGCATGCAGAGGAAGTTTTGATGGGGTGTGGGGGTAATTGGTTTGCTTTCGTTCTTGTTATTATTCTGTATTATCCTCTCCCCGGTGCTTTTTAACATCTTTATGCGCCCCCTTGCCCGGATTATCCGGAGATTTGGGCTGGGTTGTCACCAATATGCTGATGACACTCAGCTCTATCTGCTGATGGATGGCCATACCGACTCGATCCCGGACACAGTGACCAGATGTTTGGAAGCTGTGGCTGGATGGTTTCGTGGGAGCTGATTGAAACTAAATCCTTCGAAGACAGAGGTCCTATGACTGGGTTGGGATGGCATGGGGATGAGGGACCAACTCCCTTCTCTTGCGGGGGCCCAATTAGTGCCATTGCCTTCCGTTAAGAGTTTGGGTGTAATCCTTGACGCCTCCCTTTCCATGGAGGCGCAGGTTACAGCAACAGCCAAGGCGACATTTTCCCACCTTCGCCGCATCAAGCAGTTGGTCCCTTACCTTTCCCGCCCTGACCTGGCCACAGTGATCCATGCGATGGTCACCTCCAGGCTTGACTACTGTAATTCGCTCTACGCAGGGCTGCCCTTGAAGCTGTCCCAGAAACTCCAGCGGGTGCAGAATGCTGCAGCGAGGCTCCTCAACACTGGCTCCGGCCTGGTGGAATGCTCTGTCTCTTGAGACCAGGGCCCTGCGGGATCTGATCTCTTTCTTCAGGGCCTGTAAGACAGAGTTGTTCCACCTGGCCTTTGGCTTAGAATCAGTTTGATTCCCTCACCCTCTTTCTTTTTCCTTTCTCCTATGAAGAGATTGCACCCTAATGTTTTAATGTTGTATCTTTTAAATTGTATTTTTATCAACTTGTTTTTATTATTGGTTGTTAGCCGCCCTGAGCCCGGTCTTGGCCGGGGAGGGCGGGGAATAAATAAAAATTTATTATCTATCTATCTATCTATCTATCTATCTATTTATTTGTTTGTTTATTATTTTGTGTCTTTTATCTCGAATTTTTATGTTGCGAATTGAGATCTGCGGATGAAGGGTGGTATACAAATTTAATAAATGATAATAAGTAATACGTATCAGTGGGGACTAACATATAACAGTGCAAGCAAGTCCTTTCCAAGGGAGGGAGGCAGCAGGTCTTGCTGTATCAGCTGTGCTAGGTGCCGTTTGATTTTTGTATACAATTTGAATTGTGTCGTATAACTACTATTTGGCATTATGGGCAGCAGCATTTATTTGGTTCCTCTCAGTTTTCATGCCATATTGCACAGTGAAGTTTTCAAATAAATGTAGGATGCATATAACATACAGGGGCATGATATTTTTTTTGAAATCTTTGCTCTAGGGTGATAGCATGCTATGGAGGATATTGCACTGTACTTAACTAACAAGGCGAATAGCAAGAGCTACCAAATCCCAATTTTGGTGTCAATAAAAATGGTCCATTTAGGTACAAAGTCAAAATGGCAGGCGAAGAGTAAAATGGCTTTGCGGCTTTAAATTGCCCAATGCAATGAGTTAACTCATTTGCACAGGCTACATATGTTTCCTGGACCAATGGCATATACTTAACTTGTTTGCTTATACTTAATGAGTCAGAGCATTACAGGGCTGGAGGATGTTATTCCAGGGGAGTGATATTAGGAATCCGAAATCAGCAGAGTTAAGGGGCGGTTCCAGGGGATCTGGTGTTCTAGATAACAAAATGTTTTCTAGGCTAGCCCAACAATGTAGTGGGAGCCCCAAAGGCCCACCAAGCTTCATTTGTCACAATTGATGTCAATGCTTTGTGGTTCCCAAACAAGTAACCTGGGTTCCATAGAACTCATCTCATATGTTGCTGGAATAGAGAATTTTTCTTAAGGGATTGTATTCCCTCAAGATTCCTAATTCCAGCTGTGGAAAATAACAAACACAGGAAAGACATAATGACACAACGGGGAGAAAGCATGGAAACAGGCTATTTAAAGGCGGAGCAGCCTGTCTTGAAGTATCCCATGGAGGTCTAGCAGCAGGCTGAAATATTGGCTGGTTGGATGGAACAGACGGAACCATAGAACAGCTGGATTGCGGAAGACAGAACAGTGTTGTTTCATGGTGGAAGATAATTAAATATTTGGTTTCCAGGGTAGGGATACCCGAGATAAAAGGTGATTGGACTGAGGATTAGACTGGATGGAAGGAGTACAGTGGTACCTCGGGTTACATACGCTTCAGGTTACACACTCCGCTAACCCAGAAATAGTGCTTCAGGTTAAGAACTTTGCTTCAGGATAAGAACAGAAATCGTGCTCTGGCGGCGCGGCAGCAGCGGGAGACACCATTAAAGTGGTGCTTCAGGTTAAGAACAGTTTCAGGTTAAGAATGGACCTCCAGAACGAATTAAGTACCGTATTTTTTGCTCCATAAGACTCACTTTTTCCTTCCTAAAAAGTAAGGGGAAATGTGTGGACGTCTTATGCAGCGAATGCAGGCTGTGCAGCTATCCCAGAAGCCAGAACAGCAAGAGGGATTGCTGCTTTCACTGCCCAGCGTGCCTCTTGCTGTTCTGGCTTCTGAGATTCAGAATTTTTTTTCTTGTTTTCCTCCTCCAAAAACTAGGTGCATGTTGTGGTCTGGTGTGTCTTATAGAGCGAAAAATATGGTACTTAACCCGAGGTACCACTGTACTCCAAAATAATAGTTTTATGTGTGGTTGTCACTGCACATAAAAAATAATAATACAAGTTTCCTGTCACAGACTGATTGGACAGTCCTAGGGGGGAAAGGTGATGGTCAATACCTAATCAGGGTAGAGTGTCCCAAGTGCAGACCATATTTCTGCTTGAGTAGCAGGGAGATGCAATTTTTTTTAACTAATTAGTTAAGTGTGGACTGCTTAGGGTGGGCTGTGTTGCCCCCTATGATTCTGCTGACAGAAATGGAGCAGGGTTGCTCCATACGTAAGTACCATTGCCTGACTTCTCACAACACCCTGAATCTCTTTTTTTTCCAGGAATTAATGCAGAATTCTGAAATTCTTGACTCTTTATATTAAATCCAAAACCAAAATTGTAGAATACATAGAACATATCTTTTGAGAAAATATGTGTGAACAGGAGTGTCTCTTTGTTCAGGGATTCCAGTGCTCAAAAGGACTTACTCATATAGCGTAAATTTCAGCCCTGCTTAGAACTGCCACTGGACATTGAGATTTCCTCTAGGCATTCTAAAGAGCCTGTGCACACCCAGGATGACTCCCACCCATCCAGAACAATGACACATCACCAATTTATTCAGAAAGGCCCTTCAAATCACTTGAGGTGACAGGTGTGCAAGAAGGCAGCAGTTATTGCATGATTGCAAGTTCAGAGTCCCATTGTGCATGTGTGCTTTTTACATTAGTCACTGGAGTCTAGCCGCTGTTCTAAAGCCATAAGAGACATATTTCTCTCTTGTCATTTTTATTCCTTTTCAACAGTACATTAAAGCACAAACGCCTCCCTTATATAAATTTTTACGCTTTGGAAAAGCTTTCCAACTTTAAATTATTCTAGTGGTAAACTTTGGGTTTTGGTTTGGAATTCCAGAGCCTCTGTGGCATCAACAGCAATGCAGAACTAAAGAGAGGTGAATTCCAAGGCTGTATTATATATAAACACATGTGGGGCTCTGCAACTTCATTATGAGATAAACTAGGTAAACACTTGATTGGAGTGACAAATCCAGCTAAATTTCTCAAGAAACACATTCCTACTTTTATTGGAAACTAAACTTTACAATTCTCTAAAAGATGCAGACTTCAGTGTCGAGACTATTTCTCACCACATGCTGTGTACCTGAAATATGTGTCCAAATAATTCCCTGTTGCTCAAATCAGCATGTGAGTTTTAGTACCTCCTAGGTTCCCCTTTCTCCCTTAAATCCACAGTGCCTGCAGTAAAGGCTAAAAGTCAATGCCAAATTAGCTGTGAGGCTCACCAGATAGTTTGCCTTTGTGCCATTTTTATTATTAATAGCAATACTTCATTGCAGTGCTTTTTTCTAAAAAAAAATGTTTAGGGTACTCATATTGAAATACTGCCCCCCAATGAGACCGAACAGATTCACAAAATGTTTGGGGGTATGCATACCCCTGCCCCCCGAAAAATAAAGCACTGCTTTATTTAATTGGGGGTGTTGTGTTTATATAACTAACAATAAAAAGCAAAGTAAAACAAAACAAGGGAAGGGAAGGGGGAGGAATGGATCAGCATTCACAGGTTAGGATCATTTTCAGTTTACAGAGTTATATTACCTGTACATTCAGTGTAGCCATGTCAGCCTACTGATTTATATAATATAACCTACTGATTAATAATACTTATTCCTTTATTTAATCTATTATATATAGCTAGGTTATGTATGGGATGCGGGTGGCGCTGTGGGTTAAACCACGGAGCCTAGGACTTGCTGATCAGAAGGCTGGCGGTTCGAATCCCCGCGACGGGGACCTAGCAGTTCGAAAGCACAAAGTGCAAGTAGATAAATAGGTACCACTCCGGCGGGAAGGTAAACGGTGTTTCCATGCGCTGCTCTGGTTCGCCAGAAGTGGCTTAGTCATGCTAGCCACATGACCCGGAAGCTGTACGCCAGCTCCCTTGGCCAATAAAGCGAGATGAGCGCCGCAACCCCAGTGTCTGTCACGACTGGACCTAATGGTCAGGGGTCCCTTTACCTTTACTTTTTAGGTTATGTATGGTGAATAAAGATAGGCCATCTGTTCGTTGTAGGCAGCACAGCAGAGTGGGGTTAACCCTTTGCTCCTGCCGCAGTCCTGAGCAGAATCGGTCACACCCAACACAGCTGCTGTTTCAGAATGCAAAGAGGAGCTTTCCTCCCATTGTTGATGACAGGCATTTGGGGATGCATTTACTGAAACTGAAATTTGTATTGGGGTTGAAATTGATATCAATTTCATGGTATGGTAGTAGTAAGTTTGAATTAGTTATAGTATTTAATGTTTTTAAGTATTAGTACTATGTATACATGTTACACATTTTATCTTCTTAGTAGGTTCACTATGCAATTCTTGTTAAATGTTAATATAATTAGATTAAACAGCAAAACTTTAGAAACGCTCATAGTAGTGAATGAATTTGCATGTTTCTGGTAACTAATTAGGTTGCTAACGAAAATCAATTTTCATAACGTGAAAACACATGAGAATGCCAAAATCCCCAGTCTTTTAACAATACCACTTTTTATTTTCTATTTTTATATGTATTATTACTTCTTTCTCTTTTTTTAGGTAAGTTTTTGGGTAGTTAGAGAGATTCTTCATGCACAGACATTAAAAATACGAGCTGAAGTTCTGAGCCACTATATTAAAACAGCTAAGGTAAGAAACTTTTGTTCTGGAGCCTTTATCAGGGTTGATAGAGACCTAGGTATGCTTGGCTCCATTAACATATGACTAGAGGAAATGTGTGGCCTTGTTAGTTATATGAACTCTAACCAGGAATAGTTGAACAATATTCAGTGATGATGATTGCTGATTATACTTTGAAAGAGCAATCAAAAGGTATTAAGTGTAATATTGCTAATTCATTTGTTTGGGGTATGGTGTGGCAAGAATACTTTCTGGGACATGATGCAGATAAATTATTATTTTCTATCCAGTGGCTAGTATATGACTAAGTCAGGAATGCCACATCACTGCCCATGGGTGTTTAGATTGGTGACTTAACTATGGTTTATTGGCCAGTGTTTAGTCTATTTCAGACCAAGGTCACACACAAAGCTTATCTATTAGGTCGTAGTCATGAAGGTATGCTTTTCAATTACACCTTTATCATAATTATTTGGAGAGGTATAATTTTCCTCCATTTTCCAGTTTTTTGTTCATGATGCCACTTGACTTTTGTAAAATAGGCTGATGATTTAAGTTGTGGCAAACTCAATACATTACAGTACTAGATACTAAACTTCTGTTTTGTTCTGTTCTCAGAAACTCTATGAGTTGAATAATCTGCATGCTCTTATGGCTGTGGTGTCTGGATTACAAAGTGCCCCCATCTTCAGGTTGACCAAAACTTGGGCGGTGAGTGAACTTGGGTGTTAACACTGAGTTAGGGATTTGTGCAGTGGAAGCGGAATGATTAATAATAATAATAATAATAATAATAATAATTTATTTATATCCCGCCCTCCAGCCAAAGCCGGGCTCAGAGCGGCAAACATCATACAAGTAAGACAATGCATAAAAACAAGCAATCAATAAATTAAGATACGTCCCGCAATTAATTCAAACAAATTAAAATTTAAACTGGACAAGTGGCAATCTTCAGGTTAAAATTGAAGGCAGTTACCAACTGTTTCCACTGTTGAGCAGGCTGGGAACCTCCTTTGTGCTTGTTGTTATACAAGGAGAAAATGAGTCAGACTGAACTCAGACCAAAGGCCTGGCGGAACAGCTCCGTCTTGCGGGCCCTGCAGAAAGATGTCAAATCCCGCAGGGCCCTAGTCTCTTGTGAGAGAGCATTCCACCAGGCCGGGGCCACGGCCAAAAAGGCCCTGGCTCTGGTCGAGGCCAGTCTGATCTCTCTGGGGCCCGGAATCTTTAGGATGTCATTATTTGCAGACCGTAAGGTCCTCCATGGGGCATACCAGGAGAGGCTGTTTACCAGCAGCTCCCCGTTTATAGGTGTCCAGTATGTGTGCAGCTGTGTATACGGGCATCGCATTGAATCTGGAAGGGACCTGAAAACGTCATAAAGACGTCACTGAAATGTCACTAAAAGAGAGGGATGGGGGCGGGGCGGAATAGGGTGTCTGTAGGCTTTTTAAGGGGGTTTCAATTATACCGACAAATGTGTGGGGCCTTGGAATGTAACCCTACCTATAAATGGGGCCTACCTGTAGTTGATTTCACATAGGGTACTTGTTGCACCATAGGAGCCAACTCCTAGGGGCTGTTGCGACTTCGGCCACCCCCACAATAAAATATTTTAAGGGGCTGGGCCTCCACAAAGTTGGTGGACATTCCCATTCAAATGGTGAGTGTGCACGCGCACGGCACCATATGGTCGATTATGTGGGGTGAGGCTTACCTGGGCCCCCACAATATTTTATTCAAGTTGACGCCCTGGTGTTGGGCATAATATAAACTTACCTAAATCCCTTCAGTTCCCTTTGAAGTCTATCCTTATGAGTGACCATTCATCTTCACTTATTCCTGACGGTCTGATCTGAAAGCACAGATGTTCTGCTCTCAGAAAGCTTAGATTATCAACGCCCTTTCTTTGTGTTTGTCTATTTTGGTTCTCTGTTAAATAGACTCCTAGAGAGTGATTCAGTGCCCCTTCTGTTAATATTCATTCAACCGTTCTGTAATTTGGCATCCTTCTGTAAACATTCATTTATCATCCCAGGTGAGAACTATAACTGACTCAGTGGCTGTGTGTACGACATAAGAATTTTTTTTGAGGTGTGTGTGTTACTCTTTCACTCTCATGGAGTCTACCCCTTGCTACAGCAGTTTGTGCTTCAGGATGGTTTGAAACGGCAATATTATTGGGTAACACCACTGGTACTGCCTACTGACAGGAGAGGGAAAGCATTTCTGACAATCTTCCATCTCCACTTTTTAGCATCGTCCACGTCAGGGGTCAGCAAACTTTTTCAGCAGGGGGCCGGTCCACTGTCCCTCAGACCTTGTGTGGGGCCAGACTATATTTTTTTGGGAGGGATGAACGAATTCCTATGCCCCACAAATAACCCAGAGATGCATTTTAAAGAAAAGCACACATTCTACTCATGTAAAAGCATGCTGATTCCCGGACCGTCTGTTGGCCAGATTTAGAAGGCGATTGGGCCAGATCCGGCCCTTGGGCCTTAGTTTGCCTATCCATGGTCCATGTCTTCCTAAATCTGCTCTGGTGGGTTCCTCCAAGCCTCTGGAGAATGAGTGCTGTCGGGGGGGGGGGATTGTCAAATACTTTTTCCTTCCTTGTTCTGCAGACAGTTTCCCATCTAATCTCAGACATTAACACTACTCTTTAAATTGAACCGCATAGTTGTTCCAAAAATTATTTTTTTACCATAGGCCCACAAATTGTGACTGGACGTGGTGGTGTTAGCTTTTACTACCCATCTATGAAGTTCTGCTATGATAGCTCAACAATATATCAATTTACCAATGCATCTATTTTCTGATGATTTTTTTTTTTTAACTCACATTGCTTTGACTGTATTGTTAGCTGCTTAGAGCAATTCATATTGAGGCTTGATAATTAATCCTTTAATTAATTCAATTAGCTGAAGGCACAAAACATTCTTTCCCCCACCTCTGGCTACTACCGTATTATTCACCCTATAGGGCGCACCGGCCCATAGGGCGCACCTAGTTTTTTTTTGGGGGGGGAATAAAGAAAAAAAATTATTTCCCCCCCAAGCACGGGGCTGGGGCGGGGGAAGCCTGAGCTTCTCCAGCCCCCAGAACAGGCTGCTATCCGCAAGCCTGGGGAGCCTGTGGGAACTCCCGCGGGGCTCCCCAGGCTTGCGGATATCTGCTCGGGGCGCGCTGCTCAGCGCTGCTCAGCATGCCCCAGGCTTCGGGATGCAGGCTGCTATCCGCAAGCCTGGGGAGCCCGCGGGAATTCCCGCCGGGCTCCCAGGGCTTGCGGATAGCTTCCTGAAACCTGGAGACCGAGAGGGATCGGTGCGCACCGACCCCTCTCGCTCTCCAGGCTTCAGCGAAAGCCTGCATTCGCCCCATAGGACGCACACACATTTCCCCTTCGTTTTTGGAGGGGGGAAAGTGTGTCCTATAGGGCGAAAAATACGGTATTTAGATTTAAAAGAAACCCTGTGTTGTCAAAGTACTAATCCTGCGTCATCAAACTACTATAGTAATCTACAGTATAGCACGGCTCAGAACTTTTCACAATTAAAATGCTTTCAAATTGTATATGATAAAACAGTTGTAACTTTTCAGTGCAGTATTTCCTTATGCATAGTACAAAATAATTGTTAACTTGGGGGGAGGGGGGAGCTATTGGTTTCCTAATAACTATATTTTGGATCTTCCCCTCTCCCTAAAGCTACTGAGCCGAAAGGACAAAACTACTTTTGAGAAGCTGGAATATGTAATGAGTAAAGAAGAAAATTATAAGAGACTTAGAAACTATATAAACAGCTTGAAGATGACTCCGTGCATTCCTTATTTAGGTAAGATGAACGTTTTAACTTTGTTTACTGGTATCATAAAAATATTAGTACCTGTTTGCAGTGGAGGAGGAACCCTCTCCAGCACCTGGGGCAGGATGCCAAGGGGCGGGGCGAACCGCCCTGTGATGGCATGCGCTACGTCTGTACGGACTGCGCATGTGCGACGGTTGTATGGGCTTCCGCACATGCACACTCCGTACGGGATGCCGCACATTCGCAGTCCATACGGGCTGCCTCTCGCATGGCGTCCATACGGGCTGTTGCACAAGCGGCATCCTGTACAGACTGTGCATGTGCGGCATCCCTTACGGAGTGCGCATGCGTGGCATCCATACTGACTGCACATGCCCTTGGCCACTCTAGAGCTGGGGGGGAGGCAGGGACCATCTTGTCACACACACACCACACACCCGAGTGGCACCCGGGGCAGCCCGCCCCCCACTTCGTACGCCCCTGCCTGTATGGGCCCTACATTGGGGCAGCTCCTTCCTTCCTTCCTTCCTTCCTTCCTTCCTTCCTTCCTTCCTTCCATCGACCATAGGGAAAGGGGTGGGGAGAATTGATGGAGGCAGCATTTTTAATGGCTTTTCAAGTATACTCTGTTTCAAAGAGCACAGCCAGGAGAAGAGAGAGGAAACCTCCTGAGGTGGAGGGGCTAAATCCAGCTGTCAAGGAAGGCATATACAGATGTGAGCGGGATGTGAATTTGACCAAGGGATTTTAAAGTCTCTTCTCATCTTAAAGATTTGTGGTTGTGGCAGCATTATTGATCTAGCAGAGGCTTCTCTGTCCACATTACTATGTTACAGAATAGGGAAAATGCTGGCTCTTCCTTCTTTTAAAAAAATAACCATGCAGAATACAATTATTTCTTTGGACTGGGGGCTGTGCCTCATTTTGTTGGAATTGCATCCAGTTTACCTTGGCAGCCACATTTGTGGCTTCCTGTTTGTTAAGAGCATAGAACAGAGCAGGAGGGGAGTTTTTTAATGTTTAAATTCATTGACAGTTACCTCAGTGTGGCATGAGATGCTCTTACAAAGCTACGGCATACAGGAAGTTAGTCCAATCTTATTGATACTGGGTAAGATGCAGCGTCACACAATGGGACAAGATTTGTTCCCTTCCCTTCCCTCAGCTTTGTGTGCAGAGAAGGTCCCCAATGCCCAGATTTTTTTGGGGGTGCTTAAGTAATTGCAGGGGAGGAAAGGGAAGAGAACTCAAATGCATGAACAGGTCGTCATTATTGGATTGCACCCATTTTTTTATCACCATATGTTTTGTTCCATATTCATATCCTTTAGAACAGAGAAAAATACAACATTGATTTAGAACCCAACAAAAACCACTCCGTGTATTGCTTTCTCATCCTGTTTTGCTCATAAACCATAAGGCAGCACAGCTGAAAATCAAGACACTGTTATAACGAAGAAAAATAATTTCAATTCTAAAATGCTGCATTTTTATTTAGTGCTTAATGTGCATGTTTTTTTCCTGGGGCAAATAGTATTTTTAATATGAAAGTCCTACATCCTTTTACATCTTCTTGCTGTGTAGTCGCCCACTGAATGTTAATTTTGTAGTAATCTGGCAACTTTCATATTTCTTGCATTGGTCAATATCTTAAGAGGGGGACCGTCTGCATGTGGACAGTTACTCTGTGCATGCAGTGTGCATGTTTTCATGCTGGCTTTCTCCTTCTGGTGGCAGCCCATTATGCTTTATGGAATGCCACTTGAGATGCTACGGGGGTCTTGGCCCACCAATATTGGTTTCACTTGTTAGGGTGTCAAGGTCTTTGATAAGCACTGACCCTTCCTTGGTTGGGTTTCTTTTGCTCATGTCCTTGCACAAACAGAAAAACCACCCCTTTTTGCCTCCCCCCAAATTATCCATGGAGAAGTATATTTCTCTTTGTAGTGCTGAACTTTTTGTGCTAGTCATATCAGATGGGCAGGGGTTCTTATTTCTGGTAAGCAAACAAGTTATTTTATGGAACTGAGGTGAGAGTACTATGGTTGAAAAGTCTCATTAAATAAGCCATTTGGGTACGTTCCTTCTTCTTTAATTCGAAGTGAACCATAAGTTTTGAAGTTGAATATAGCTAGGGTCTTGCGCTGTTTCATTAAAACAGTTCTTAAAAAATCATAATATACAGTCGTTTTGCATGCTTGTAGATACAGTTTTAGGAATGTGAGCAGTATCTGTCAACCACTCACATGAGCTTATTGGAATAACTTTTAGCCAAATGTTTAATAGTAATGTATTCTAAAAAGAGATTTAAGTTTTTAAAAAAAGAATGAGGTTTTCAGAGTTAAAGCAAGCGGAAATTACTGAGCGTATTTCACACTGTGCTCTTGACAACCTAGCTGCTGTTTTTAAAACTAGTTTCTAAAAACTCAGAAGGGTATGTGGCACTGTCAAAATAATGCAAAAACAAAATCCACATTCATCTGGCTGCTTGAAATACTTTTCTGCTACTCCTGATTGCTGGAAGTAAGGTTTAATGAGGGGAGAACACCCAAGTTTTAAAAATGTAGTTCAGATACATTTTGGCCTTTTCAGTAACCTGTAACTGTTCAAGCTTCAAAAATTCAGATTAATAGGCTGCGATCTCCAGACCTCTCTCCAGTCCAGCGCCTTCTTGTCTACTCTCTGTTGTGGAGGGGGAAAGCAGCTGTTGGAAGTGTTTCCCTAACACGAAGGAATTAAATGAATAAGAACCACTTCCCAGTCATGTTGGCAACCCTAAAGTACCAAATCCAGTACTATCTAATTATTTTATGGCAGACAGAGCATTTATTAAGAGATTATAGGAAGGAAGGTCCCCACTGTAGCCTGTCCAGTTACCAGTTATAGCTTAAACAGAGTAGGATGTTTAAATTGGGTAAATGTCAGAATTTTAAGAAACCTGACAAATAAAACAGTTGCTGCTCCATGAATTTCACTGGGTGAGATCCAGTGTGACACCAAGAAACACACAATAGCTTCCCCTTCCCCCTCCTCCCTCACACTTCCCAGTCAGCTCCCGAGGTTATGCCAAGATGCTAAATCAGGGGTCAGCAAACTTTTTCGGGAGGGGGCTGGTCTGCTGTCCCTCAGATCTTGTGGGGGCCGGACCCACCGCCTCCCGAAAGCACCCCCCTCCCGAAAGGCACCGCAGCCACTGATGCTGCCTCATCTTCGGCAGCATCGGTGTCCTCTGTCTCGGCAGGGCACAGAGCCCATGCCGCTGGCCTGGGCAGCGGAAGCAGCCTCCGCGCCACTGCCTTCCCTCTTAGCCGCTTCCTCCTGTTCGGCCACCTCAGCGGGAAGGAAGGGGCAGCGCCCAGAAGCGTCTGTGGCTTCTGATTGGCTGCAGGAGCTTCCTGCAGCCAATCAGAAGCCGTGCCGCGTCACGGAAGTCAGTCTCCATTCGGCGAGGCCTCTGCACCGTCCCTGTTTCGCGTGGGGACTGACTGAGCAGGCGGCAGGGTCCGCAAGGTTCACGGGCCAGATTAACGAGCCTGGTGGGCCGTATCCAGCCAATGGGCCTTAGTTTGACGACCTCTGTGGTAAATGCATTACTCAGTTAGAAGTACTGCTGCACCAGCAAGTTATTTCCAAGTAACATGTTTGGTACACTCTATAGAGTTAATAACATGAACAAATTACCCGTAGTTGGAAAGTCCCTCAGTCAGTTTAGCCTTAAACTCACTGCATGGCTTATCTTTCGGACTGAATCCCAATTTGCAACACAGACCTAATAATAATATTAGCCTTGTTGTTGTTTAGTCGTTTAGTCGTGTCCGACTCTTCGTGACCCCATGGACCAGAGCACGCCAGGCACCTCTGTCCTCCACTACTTCCCGCAGTTTGGTCAAACTCATGCTGGTAACCTCGAAAACACTGTCCAACCATCTTGTCCTCTGTCGTCCCCTTCTTCTTGTTCCCTCCATCTTTCCCAGCATCAGGGTCTTTTCCAGGGAGTCTTCTCTTCTCATGAGGTGGCCAAAGTACTGGAGCCTCAGCTTCAGGATCTGTCCTTCCAGTGAGCACTCAGGGCTGATTTCCTTAAGAATGGATGCGTTTGATCTTCTTGCAGTCCATGGGACTCTAAATCCCACACTAAATCCCACTAAATCCCATACACCTTGTATTAACATAAATTTATTTTAAATGCAGAATCCTGCTTCCTTTGTGAGCATTTAGAACTTGCATAAGGGATTTGACTTAGATTGTATCTTACCGGCCCAGTGGTTTTTCCTACTTTCTTCAGTTTAAGCTTGAATTTTGCTATAAGAAGCTGATGATCTGAGCCACATTCAGCTCCAGGTCTTGTTTTTGCTGACTGTATAGAGCTTCTCCATCTTTGGCTGCAGAGAATATAATCAATCTGATTTCGATGCTGCCCATCTGGTGATGAATATTAGCCTACCTCACAGTATCATGAATGGGTTATTCAGAACCTAAGTGAAGGATATTGAACACTTAGGGGAAATGCTGTATAAATACTTGTTTTATTATTATTTTATTCATATTTAGGATTAAAGTTTAGGCATGATGCCCTCCAATCCGAAGAGCAGCAAAGTTCATATGTCCTATTAAAGCTATACTTAATGATAGTTACCATTACTGTTTTAAAATAAGAATACTTTTATTGATGCAAAATGCGCCTGCAAAACCAGAGTTGCTCTCTAGTTCATTGTCTGTTTTGTGACTTGTGTGCCCACATCTCAAAATTAGATTTCCACTGGAAGTAATCCTTGAAATAAAACTTAAATAGATTTAAATCTATGAAAATGAATTGAGTTGCATGCTTCACACAGCAGCAGCATCTTGTACTTCAGTTTCAAAGTTCAACTATTCTGCATCCGTGATGTTTTCTTGTAGCCTGCAAAATTGTTAGGTTTAATTACTGCCACTAAATCCCATACACCTTGTATTAACATAAATTTATTTTAAATGCAGAATCCTGCTTCCTTTGTGAGCATGTAGAACTTGCATAATTATCATATACA